GTGGCTGACGAGACAACCGGACCGAGCCCGGCTGCAGATCGAAATCGGAAGCTAAGAGCAGACCTGGAAGAGGCACAAGAGTGGGTGCAGCTAATATCCCGGGGGCCTGGGGAGGGGCTGTCACCCTCTGGGTGGTGGGAGTCCTGTCTGAGCGGCACCCTCGCTCGGGCGGCCCTCCTGGGAGCAGGCTGGGTAGGCGGGGGTGGCCTCCGGCCTGGCCTCCAGCCGCCCCCCTGGCCGCCCCCCGTCACGGGGCCGCAGGGGGACGTAAAGCCCAGCAGCCGCCCGGGACGGGCTCTGTGGGTAGTCGCCTCTCCTCCTGCCAGGGGGGCGTCCCACGCCGCCGAGCCCCGCTCGGGGCACCAGCCCGGGGCAGCTGGGGGCGCCCGCGACCCTCAACGTCGCGGCCCCCTGCCGGCCCGTGAGTGAAAGGCCTGGGGAGTTTGGAGGGCGAGGTGGTGCTGGCAGTGATGGCAGCAGAAGGAACACAGTGGGTCAAGCACCGCAGGTGTTCAGGTCGAGGACCCCGAGTGGAAGCAGATCCCCGCCGTCCTCACAGCCGCCCCGCGGGGCCCGCCCGGCACCACCTCCGTTTACGGGGGATTGAGCACGAGGCCTGCGGGCTGGTCCCTGGTCCCTCGGCTTGGCGGTGACTGGCCCGAGGCCTGGCCCCTGGCCCCCGCGTCCCCGCTCCTGGGCCCAGCAGCTTCTGACCGCCGCCTTCCTGTTCGCCAGATTCTTTTCCCTTTTTTTTTTGTTTTCTTTTTAATATAATTGATAGACTTTTTAATTATTCTAAGTAATGGAGGTGTTTGTTTGTTTGTCTTTGAGTAGTTTTAGGGAAAATGAGCAGTTTACAGGAAAATGAGTGGCAAGTCCAGAGATCCCCAAATCCCCTCTGGGGCCCCGACAAGGGGCCTCTGGCGTCGCCGCGCTGTTACAGTTGGCACGGCCGCGTGCTCACACGCTCTTGCTGAACGAAGTCTAGCTGACGGGGGAGCGCACTCTCTTGGTGTCCTGCCTTCTCTGGGTTTAGACACATGTTTACGGATGCGTCTGCCCTGTCACAGGGTCACACAGAGGACCTTCCCTCCCTAAAAATCCCCTGTGCTCCCCTGACTCGTCCCTCCCCGCCAACCCCCAGAAGCCAAGGATCCTCTTACAGTCCCCGTAGCTCCGCCCTTGCCGGAACGTCCTAGAGTTGGAATCACCTGTGTGGCTGTGTCAGCCAGCCTTCTGTCACCTGATGATGTTTGTTTTCGGTTCCTCCGTGGAACAGAACCGAGAGCCAGAGACAGACCCACACAGTACAGTCACCTGGTCTGGGATGGAGCAGCAAAAGCAGGCTGTGTGTTTGTAAAACGGCCAGGTAGACTGAATATCCCATTAATTTATTACCTTTTTTAAAAATCGTATATTACTTTTGTTGTCATTAGCCTTCATAAAACGGGGTCATGTGTGGGTTTTTTGACATTACACACATGCGCAGGTTACATTACCTGTGAATTCGTTTCGGGGCAGCAGAGGGAGCAGTGGAAAACACCTGTGGTTGGGGGCACTGGGCCTGACAGGTGGAGAACCAGTGGTCTCAGATGTTCGGGAAGCATCGTTTCCTCAGGAAATCAGAGGGCACTCTGCCCCCAGCCCCCCTTCCAAAAGCCCACTGTGTGGACTTAGCATACTTTGTACCTGTGGTTCAGAAGTCACTGGTAGAGTTTCTCCTCTGCATGGATTCTCTGATTCAGATAACACGGACGTGCCCACCGAAGGCTCTTCCACCCTAAAAACATGCACTGGGTTTTTCTCTTGTGTGATTTTGTGGATGTTGACCGGGGAAGTTCCCGGCTGGTAGGCTGTCTGGCCTTTGTTCCGCCCCCAGGGTTCTGGCTGGAGCACACGAGCTGATGCCGGCGGAGGGGTGGCTCCGGCCTCAGCTCAGCGCAGCACGGCCCACACTGCCCGCCTCGGAGGGCCTGTCACTCCGAGGAGCCCTCTCAGCTGGGGTGCAGGGCTCTGTCCACTCAGGCTTCACTGGGGCTGGCGTCCACTCGATCAGCCTCTGTTGAGGGCGTCTCCCCGGTGAGTGCTCAGAGGCAGGAGGAGGCACGCCGGGAGGACTTCACACACGCCGCAGGGGTCCGGCCCTCCCCACGGTCGTCAGCCTGGGGCGAGATTCAGGTCACAGGCCCTCCTGCCATCCTGGCACTCACAGGGCTCGTCCCCCGTGGGGACTCTCGTGCTGGCCCAGGGAGGCCTCCCTGCACTCTGCACATGGACAGCCTCTCTCCCGCGGGGACACCCGCTCACATGCTCCGAGCGGGGCCTCGTGCTCGGAGGACTCGCTGCAGCCCGTACCCTGTAGGGTTGACCCTGCACCTGGCCTCCTGCTGGTTCTGGAACTGACCATAGCTCTGCCGCGGTCACTGCTGTCACTCGGCTGTTTTCCCCACGAGCCCGTCTGCTGACCAGCTCAGCCTGAGTTCCATCCTGAGTCAGTCCACGCATATCCTGGCCCAGAAATCTCCGGGAGCGGAGTTAGGTTTGAACTCAAGACACAGTTTCCCCAAGTCTGAGGCCTTCGCGGCTTCCACCTCAAATCAGTGTCTCCTTGAGGCTGAATTCCAGTTGCCTCGAATGGCTCTGGCCCTTCCTGGGCAGCTTGGCCTGCCCTCGCATTCTCAGTCTCCCCCAGCCCGAAGCCATGCCGCTGCGTCCTCCTTGGGGTCCGTCCTGACCACACGTTGAGGACAGGTGACCCCGATCCTGAGAGCCGCCCCCACCGTGAGGACTTCAGTGCCCGCCAGTCTAATTTATTACTTTTTCCTTTGTTTGCTTTATTATTTCACAAACAGTTGATCTTGTTTTATCTGACTGGGAAACTGGCCGAGGGGTGGGTAGGCTTAATCCTCCTCCTGGTCCCACCCTGGCCTTTCTTGGGCCGCCCCCATCTGGAGATCGCAGGAAGAAGCTGATGTGCGTCAGGGAGCCCAGGCGGACAGTGAAGGGTGGGGTGTGCACTGCCTGCTTGCAGACCCTGGTTGGGCGCTGGGGCATCAGCATGCGGGCCTGGTGGGTGGACTTGGCCGAGCCCAGCTTGAAGACCTGGGTCTGTAGGCGTCTCTCCAAGAAACCCTCGATCTTCAGGCCCAGGGGAAATCCAGCTCCCCGTTGCCCTCGTCCAGCACCCCGGTGCACACTCGCCACAGTCGGGCGTCACCTTCAGATGCCGTGGGCCCTTCTCACCCGGTGTCAGCAGCTCCGGGCAGCCTTGCGGACCTTGGCCAGGGTGAACTTGACCCTGCAGACCTCACATTTGTTCCTGAGCCCACACTCGCCGACCAGCTCCAGTTCTTGGTCAAGGCAGGACTTCTCAAAGGGTCTCCACGGGGTCACATAGACTTTGCGGCAAACCCAGCTCTGGGCCACCGTCCGTGCCTACACGCGGGCTCTGGTAACTGGGAAAGAGTCCCTTTTTTTTTTTATTTAAAGTTAAGTCTTACGTTGGTCGTTCCTTTGGTTAGGAAAGAAGTAAAGTAA